GCAAGAACCTTCTCCGTATTTAACAATAAATATTTAGTAGCATTTTTTTAAAAGAGTAGTCTAGGATGGGGTCCCCAAACCCCCTGTCTGTGGACCGGTATCAGTCTGGGATCTGTTAGAAACTGGTCCATGCAAGCAAGCAAAGCTTCATCTATGCATGTAGGGGATCTAGGTAGTGTGGAAAACCATGCCCCCACACCCAGTCCACAGAAAAATTGTTTTCCGTGGAAGTGATCCCTTGTGCCCAAAGGTTTGGGAATCTCTGGTCTAGGAGAAGCCTTTCTTTTAACCTCTTACTAATTGCTGCATTCTATCATTATGTGTTTTTAAAATTTCATTCATTGTTTCTTTCTTCTGAAGTCAATAACCCAAGAATTGGGAACGTGTGCCAAAACTAGACATAGTGGCATAACCGTTAGCACTGTGTTTTCATAGGTCTGTTTTGCTGCCTTAAATGTAAAATGCAGATTTATTGCTTCACTGTATTGTTCTTTGGATGGGCCCTGACCCTACACTTGCAAAACTTGAGGCAACTAACACCATTTTTAAGCGATTATTACATTTCATTATTCTAATGAAGGCAGCTGTCTTCATCTATATATATAAAAGCGAAAGACCACTCACGCATCATCACAAAATCTTCAGAACCATAAAACCTACAAACTTGAAATTTGGCACGTGTGTTCCTCTTGCCTTCTAGGTGCTCACTAAGAAAGGACTTTTCAAAATGATCACCAGAGCATTAGTATTTCATATATTATTATTATTATTATTAACATGCTTTGATGGTAAGGAGTTCTACTCCCCCTCCCCACCTGAAAAGAAATCTCTTCCAGATGCAAAACACAAGCAGAGGAGAGGAGTTTCCGTTTCAGTTTTAACAGCACTAAGCAGCTTTAGTACAGAACAGTTGAGCTAAGCCACGCCCAGGCTCCTTGCTTTCTCCTTCTTGCTCACATAGCAAATACTGTTTCACCTTCCCAGCAGCCCTCGACTCTCTCACACACTGACAAGACACTAGCTAGATGAATACCAATGGATGTTGGTAGGCAAGAGGCACAATTTTCCCCCCTTATTTTCCTCCCCAAAACTAAGCCTGACCACATAGTTTTGTAGCAAAGCACGGGTATAGAGCTAGTTTTTAATATTTTGCATTTATGTATACTTTCCCCAATGTTCCTATAGCATTTGTTGATTTACTGGATTAGTTAAGAATGCCCAGTTTTTAAAAAATAAACTCATGGCAGTTTAGAAGTAGATAAAGCCATATTCAATTAGAACAGGATTATACATATGCCTTGACTCATATTAGTTCATATAGTGACTATTCATGCCAGTGTTCTTTCTGTCTTATGGCGTTTTCAGCATGTGTTACTACTGTATATGATTAATCTAGTTATGACTAGAACCTTGTTGCTTGTATCTTTACAATTTATATTGTTTTATTTAGTTTCCTAATATTTGATTGCTTATTTAGTACCCTATGACTATCATTAAGCATTGTATCTTATGATTCATGATGAATGTATTTATGATGTCTATGATCATGATTTATCATTTATATCTTTTATCTATACTGAGAGCTTATGCATCAAAGACAAATTCCTTGTGTGTCTAATCACATTTGGCCAATAAAGAATTCTATTCTATTCTAGTTTAGGAATGATCGATGGAGTTGCATGCCAACTATATGTATGTCATCCGTATGCCCTTTGTACCAATTTTTCTCTGAAATTCTAACTTGGGATAAATTGTATAGATTTGTTCCCTAGTTCTTGGTCCCAGACAATTTTTGAGTAGTATATTGTGAGGTTTATTTTGTTTCTAAGGAAGGTCATGGCTTCTAAAGAAGTGTTAGCTAAAAGCTATAATCTCTTAATTGCAGCACCCAGGAAAATCATACTGATGATTTTTCGTGGGAGAGAAGCAAGCAACCAACTACAATGCCGGATTCTCTGGGTTTTATTCTGTTTTGCAAAAGTGGGGGGGGGAAATGGTGTAAGCCTTTGTTTAGGCTTAAGACATCAAAGCACTAATTAATTCTCTAATCTGTCAGAAGGACACCCTCAGCCCACCTACTTCAGCTAGCATTTGCTTAGTAGTTCAAGGCCTTTGTGGTGGAAAATGCAAAGTAATGTCACTAATCTATAATGCAGTTACGAACACTCATTTTGATATTTTCTTAGTGGAGGCTGCTGGAATAGAGCATTTTCAACACTCTTCTCTGGGCACTACTAATAGTACCAAACAGTGTAGTAAAATAAATATTCAGAAAGCAGATGCTGTCATGTAGCAATGTGTTGCAAAAGGCCGTTAGATGAGATGCAAATCCTTTTCATAAACCGGGAGAAAACCCCACAAGAAAGAGGAAAGAACAGGGCATAAAGGGAGAGAGTCACGTTGGTGTAGCGGTTAAGCTATTGACCTTGAAACCAGAAAACCGAGTTAGATGATGGGGTGAGGTGGGGAGGAGGCCCAATCCCTGTGGGGACCGAGTGGTGGTGGGGAAAAGCCCGTGGGGGCATGGTGGGGGTAAGGCTATGGCAGAGGTGGTCTTCAGGTTCTGACCAGTTCTGGAGAATCAGTGGTGGAAATTTTGAGCAGTTCGGAGAACCGGCAAATCCCGCCTCTGACTGGCCCCGCCCCCATCTATTCTCTGCCTCCCATTGAGTCCCAGCTGATTGGCTGGGCCTTCTTTAGTTGCCCTGCACAGGAAAACAGAGCTGAAAAGCAGGTTAGTGGGGTGGGGAGGGAAGGGGGATTTTGCAGTAACCTTTCCCTGCCACACCCACCAAGCCACACCCACAGAACCGGTAGTAAAAAAATTGAATCCCACCACTGGCCTATGGGAACCCAATGGGGGAGCGCTAGGCAAGAGGGGTGCTTCAGCATCCCTGTGGTTGGTCATAAGGACGAACGATTGTGAGGGCAGTGGTGTGATTCAACCGGTGTAACTTGGCGGTCGTGTGCTTCGCGCACGTGCCCACCCTTTAAAAAAAGCCCATCTTCAGCTATAATACTTACCTTCTAGTGAAGGTAAGTATTGTTTGTTTTTTTTGAGAAAGTGGGTTTCCAGTCCCCTAATCATCTTTGTTGCTGTTCTCTGCACTCTTCCTAGAGTCTCAACATCTGTTTTACATTGTGGCAATCAAAGGGTTCCAGGGTCATATGACCTCCCTCCCTGTCTCCTCATTGCTTTATCAGTGATGTGTTTAAATTGGAGCCACTGAGAAATTTAGGTTTTTTGTGACATATGACTCATCCACATCGTGGTGCAGATAGTGTCATAACAGGGAGTTACCGGTATATCCATGTCTCACGACGGCTCTGCTAGTTTCATTAGTTCCCACTATGCTTCTGGGTGGTATTGATGGACCTGTTGTCCTCCATGAGATGGGATTCGGTTATTTACAGGCTTGCCTCTCCCTGGTTCTTTCTACTAGTCCCACTAGATCCAAGGGGAGACACGCTCTGGATCCCTTCAATGAAAAAATGTCATTGTATGGGGCTCTGGAAGGGAACCTTTTCTGTCACAGCTCCTTCCTTCTGGAACACCATACCTTCTGAAATGAGATCTGAAGACAGGATCTGTCTGGAGATCGGAAGGCTCTTTGGCCTCTTTGTCAACTATTTTATCTGGCTCTATTCTCGGTGAGCAGCAGAGGATTTCCCCCCTCTTTTGCTAATACTGGTTTTGCAATAGTGGTGAATATAATATCGTGTTTCCTCCAAAATAAGACCAGGTCTTATATTAATATTTGCTCTCCCCCAAAATCATTGGGTCTTATTTTTCCAGGTCTTATTTTCAGGGGAAATGAAGTATTAAATGTGTCTGTCTGTCTGACGATCTTAACTGGGGCTTATTTTAGGGGGCAGGGCTTATATTACAAGCATCCTGAAAATCATACTAGGGCTTATTTTCAGGTTGGGTCTTTTGGGGAAACCCAGTAGAACGAACCTTCACCCTCAATATTGGTTTTATTGTTACGATCCTTTAGTATTTTATTTGTTGATCAAAAAAGAAAATAAGGGAGGAAATGAGGAAGAGAGAAAAATGTAGGGGAAAGGGGAAAAGAGAAATAAAAGTATTAACCCAACTCCTTTTGGTGCAGTAACATAAAATCTCAACTTTTTATTTTTACATAATATATATACTGGTCATTTCTGCAACAAGAAACCTATCAAATCAGCAAAATGCAAAATCAAAATTTTGTTTTCTTTCCGCCTCAAGCACGAAGTCCAAAAGCAGTTTCCAAGTAGAAACAAAATTTAATTATGCTCTTTTCTTTAATCAAAGTGGTCAATTCTGAGATGCTAACTCATCTCTGCTAATTCCATCAACTTTTGCAGCCATTCATCTATTGCAGGAATCAAAGAATCCTCCTATTTTTGTGCGCAGAACATTCTTGCTGCTGTCAGCCTATGTAACCATGATGGCAAACCTATGGCATGCATGCAGGAAGTGACATATAGAGCCATTTCTGCCGGCACAGGAGCAGTCTCCTAGAACTGATCCACTGTGCATGCGCGTGTGCCTCCTACCAGCCACCTGATTGTCGGGTATCTGCCACGCATACCTGGGGGGGAGCGGAGCGCACACAGGGGGAGTCATGTGTGCATGCGCAGAGGTACAGAGCGCATGGGGGTGTCATGTGTGCATGTGCAGAGGAGCTGGGGGTGTCATGCATGCACTGCATTATGGGTACAGGCACGTGTGCACACTTTTGGCACGCAACGACAAAAAGATTAGCCATCACTGCTATATAACATCAAAAATATGGCTTTATGTTTCAACATGTTGGTAGCCATCTCGAGTCACATTCGCAAGATGGCTGGCTGTATAAATTGATTAAATACATCAATAAATGAAAAGATTTGGCTGTTCTGAGTCCAAAGGAAGGCTGGGCGAATTGTTCTTTTGAAAATGAGGGTTGCTTTTGTTTTGTTTTTAAATAAAAAAATACTGCAGGATATTAAAAGATATTTTTTTCCCCTTTCAGTGACTATTTCAACAAGCACCTTTTTTGATGGCATATTGGTCACAGGACTTTATACATCTACCAGTGTTCAAATTTCGCAAAGCATTGGTGGGTCCAGTGCATTTGGATTCGGTAAGTCTAGTCTTTTTTCTTGGAATGAGTTTTACAAGTACGATCTAACAATACTCACTTTTGTTCATTTTATTTTAGAGAATTTCCACTTTTACTAAACACAGGTGGAGGAATAATTCTCTGTATAGAACACTGTCTGGGTTGCAGAAATTCAGACAACCACTAGGTGGCAGCCAAAAGATGATGAAAACTCTCTTTGCTGCCATCTAATGGTTGGCAGATTTTATAAACCCGCTCCTATGCTGCTACTCTTGTCAATCGAAAACTCATCCTAAAGCCTATTTAGCATTGGAGTCACGTCCCTGAAATGTTCATTATATGTCAAAAAAATTAAGATGGCAAACAACATTTAAATCACAGCCCAATGGGGGATTAAGGAAACAAGTTGTCCATTGCTTTTGTAATTTAAGCAGGCAGGGGTTAATGAGCAATGCAAACCTACCGTGTTTCTCCAACAATACGGCCTCCACCAATAGGAAGGCCCAGCATGATTCCTAGGCATGAGGTGAAATTAAGCCCTGCCCCCCCCCCCAAATTTAGGCCTATTTAAACCATGCATTTCCCTGCCATTTCTCACATCGTTCGTTAGAACTACACAAGGTGAAGAGAAATGTGGGCGGGGGGAAGATGGGGTGGGTGAGGAGGAAACTTGCCTTTAGGAGTGCCCTGCAGGTAGCCTAGGCTAGAATACCCCGATCTACTACCGATAGAATATCAGCCGAGAGAAGCTCCCTGAAGGCAGAGTCACCAGCTGCTTCAATCGGCCAGTAGATGCAGTCTTGGGGCGAGCGCCCACGCACACTCCCCTCACCCCAAGGCCATTTCTATCGGCCGATGAAAGCTCCCCAAAGGCAGAGTCACCAGCCGCTTCGGGGTGAGGTGTGGCTGCCCACGTCCCCTCGCCATGAGGCAGTGTCTTTCGGGCAATGGAAGCTCCCCAAGGACAGTCATCAGCCACTTCGATCAGCTGGTAGAAGCGGCCTTGGGGCGAGCGCCCACACACACTCCCCTTGCCATGAGGCCATTTCTATTGGCCGATGAAAGTTCCTCAAAGGCAGAGTCACCAGCCGCTTGGGGAGCTTCCATCACCCGAAAGACACTGCCTCGTGGTGAGGTGAAGTGGCTGGTGACTCTGCCTTTGGGGAGCTTTCATCGGCCGATAGAAATGGCCTTGTGGAGAGGTACATGTGCATGGGGCGCTTTAGGTGGGGGAGGAAATTAAGTCACCCCCAAAAAGACGGCCTAGCCATTTTTTCGGGGGTCAAAAAAAAAATAAGGCCCAGCCTTATTTTGTGAGAAACACAAAAGGGCGGACAAGAAAGAACTGGAGAGATATATCTTGTGAAGGTTGTTTCTTTTTGGCTTAGCACCATGTCTGAAGCCATCCAATGTAGGTTATCATTACCGCCTGCATGGTCTCTTCCTACAAGGGATTGGCTTTCTCAAGGAAACACCACCTGCCCATTTGTGACAAATGACTCCTGCTGAGAATCCTGCCTGTAGAATGTGTGACATTGGCATTAACTAGTTTTTTTCACCAGATTTGAGGTCAGTTCCTCCAGCTGCATAAAAGGGAAGGAAAATCTCTCAGTGTAGTGTGAGAGAGAGTTCAAATCCAATATCCGTACCACTTGTAACTTTCCCCGCCAGCTTCTCCATTGACTTTTTGGGGAAGCCTGGAGAAGTTTGCAAAGAGAGACTATATGATTGAAGGGCACTTAACTACCAGTTGTAAATGTGAAACCTTTGCAAAGAGTTTGAAATATGTTCATGTTATTCTTTCTCTCTCTCTCTCTCTCCCCCCCCTCCCTCCCCCTCCCTCCCTCTCTTTCTCTCTCTCTCTCTCTCTCTCGTGTGTTTTATGAAAGCTGAAAGTGCCTTGTGGGCCATAAGCCACCCATTGTGAGGTTATTATGACTGGGAAAGGTCATTAAATGACCAGCCATAAGTCAAGGATTATATGGCTGCTCCAAATCATTGAGATTTCATGGGCCATAAACCATCCATTGTGAGGCTATTGTGACTTCCAAAGTTCATTAAGTGACCACTCATAAGTCAAGTGCTAAATGATGCTCCAAATTTTTCAGATGATATATGGTTCATATGCTGTATAACACATCCAGAATCACCAGCAAACTGAAAGGTATTAAGAGGTAATTAATGTTGGATGTTATGGTGATAACAGGGTTGCTTTGGGTAATGAGTCTGGGGTGGACTTAGATTAATCCAAAATCAATCAACATTTCAAATAGTACATTTTGCCAGAGGTCAACTAAGGATGCACATGGCAACTTTTAAAAAGAATAAACTAAGGGAAATCAATTGCTTAGGCTGACATTGATCTAAAATAATAATTCACGAGTGTGCATACTATGTATTATCATGAAAGACGAAGAATTGAACAGGAACAAAGAGGAAACTGCTGGCTCATCTCATGTGTATTTAAAGGATATTTCTGAGCAGCAACCAACACTGGTTTTGTTTTCTAAGAACGCCTGTTGTGATCCAGAAGCATTCTTGGAAAGAAAGAAAACACTTGAGATTTTCCCTGTGCTTTTCGGCATGATGGCTTCCCATGGTGCTATTTTTAATTTTACACATCCTTGAAAATAAAATCAGGTGGAACATGGGACAGACCCCCCCAAAGAGAGCCTGTGAATTTTTATGGAAATTTGAAGCATGAAAATCCCCACATCTGGAGGGTGCCAAAATTAGGGGAAATAGCAATAGCACTTAGACTTATATACCATTTGACAGTGCTTCACAGCTGTCTCTTAAGTGGTTTACAGAGTCAGCCTGTTGCCCACAACAATCAGGGTCCTCATTTTACCCACCTCGGAAGGATGGAAGGCTGAGTCAACCTTGAGCCTGGTGGAATTAGAACTGCCAAATTGCAGGCAGCCATCAGTCAGCAGAAGTAGCCTGCAGTACTGCACTCTAACCACTGCGTCACCATGACTCAAATGTTGAGAAAGGCCTATAGGTCTTAGCATTGTGAAGCGTGAAACGGTATTCATGTAGCCACCAAGAACTGCATCTGAGTAGAATGGAAAATCATGTTTACATTTTTTTTAAAAAAAGGAATATTATCTGCTATAGTACAGGTTGTCCTTGATTTCCGACCACAACTGAGCCCCAAATTTCTGTTGCTAAGTGAGACAGTGGTTAAGCAAGTTTTGCCCCAATCTATGACCTTCCTTGACACAGTTGTTAAGTGAATCACCGCAGTGATTTAAGTGAGTCACACGGTTATCAAGTCAATCTGGCTTCCCCATGGACTTGGATTCTCAGAAGGTCGCAAAAGGGGATCATAGGATCCCGGGACACGGAAACGGTCATAAATATGAACCAGTTGCCAATGTGTCTGAATTTTGATCATGTGACCATGGGGATGCCATAATGGTTGTTAGTGTGAAAAATGGTCATAAATCCAGAGGTGGATTGCTGTCGGTTCATGTGAACCAATAGTTAAGATTCTCCATAGTTCGGCGAACCAGCTGGCTCCACCCCCGCCCATTTTTCAGTCTGTTTCTTAGACCATTTTTCCGGCCAAAAATGGCCTGAACATAGTCCAAAAATAGCCCAAAAATAGTCCAAAAAACAGTCTGAAAAATGCCCCCCAAAATGGCCTGAAAACGGCCTGAAAATGCCCCAAATACAGCCTGTTTTTTTGGCCATTTTGGTCATTTTTAGGCTGTTTTTTTGACTATATTTTGGGCCATTTTCAGGCCATTTTTCTAGCTTTTCAGGCCATTTGGGGCCATTTTTGGCTGTTTTTCATGCTGTTTTGGGGCCTGGAAAACAGCCAGTAAACAGCCAGAAAACGGCCAAAAACGGGTGGGTGGGGCCAGCCAGTGGTGGGATTAGCCCAATCGGGCTGAATCCCAACTCTGCCTTTGAAGCGAGTGGCCGGGAGGTGGGGCTAGGTGTGATGAGTGACATCACCCACCCAATCACATGACCAACTGGCCACGCCTACCCAGCCAGAGAACCAGTTGTTAAGTTATTCAAGTCCCACCACTGCATAAATCACTTTTTTTCACTTTGAACGGGCCACTCGATGAACTGTTGTAATTCAAGGATTACCTGTATTGCTACTGAACTGTTGGGAAGGTGTGTGTGTGTGTGTGTGTGTTCCTTATAGCTGCATTTGTGTGTACAGAGCCCACTGGGCTATTTTCTACCTCCTCTACCGAGCAAAACAATTGCCCTTAGTTGCAGCATTTAGATAAAGACTGTGCCATGGCCACATTTTCGATACCGTTTCTCTATAAATGATTGAAATTGCTCCAGTTCCCTCGTTTACCTTTGTGGCGAACCAAATGGGCTTTAGGACCCTCCCTTCCCACCAGGGACCCGTGCCAGAAACCAAAACAGATGGTCAAGTGGGGAAAAAAATAACCTTGGGCTTTGGGGAAAATTTTTAATAGGTTTCCCCCATTTGCCTGATTCTGTATCTAATGCTCTTTGAACTGCCACTGTTCAGTTACAACTCAACAACTTCCATGTATATTTTAATAGGGATTATCAAACACAATTTGCTCAGAAGATGTACCAGTTCTCTACTGCTAATTAACCAAGTTTAAATAATCACAGAGTTCTGGAATAATTGGAAAGAAATCCTGTTCTCTTGCCAGTGCATAATTACTAATTAACAGGAGATAAAATATCTGCATCACAGTCATAGCTGGAAGAATCTGTTAACAGTTAATTAAATTGCGAATAAGGTCCAAAGTGACGTTGGTCAACAACGTTCAGATTTGCAGTTTTACTTGGTAAATTCCCCCACTACAATCAACTTTCTGAATCAGTTGTAAGGATGCTAGGAGTAAACATTGTAAAGTTAATGGATTTGCTAAGTTTGGTTTAATATGATAAAAAAATCCTTTGAAGTATATAAATGTTCATTTGCCCTGCAATCTATGAATAATATTTTAGAATGAGACCATTAGTGGTTGAGATGAATATTTCCCAGCCTAACAACTTCCAGATGTATTGAC